GACAAAGCAAATTTCTGTCCTGAGTTCCAGGGCTGTGTGTGTGTGTGTGTGTGTGTGTGTGTGTGTGTGTGTGTAAAATACAACCTATAGATTCTGATCTGTGTCCCCAAATGTCCTTCATTGTGGGTCCATCCATGAAGCCTGGGTAACCTACCCAAGAGTCCCATCCCTATAAGAGACTGTCTCTCTTCCTCTCAGGAGCCATCAATTGGTTTGGAGTGTGTGTGTGTGTGTGTGTGTGTGTGTGTGTAAAATACAACCTATAGATTCTGATCTGTGTCCCCAAATGTCCTTCATTGTGGGTCCATCCATGAAGCCTGGGTAACCTACCCAAGAGTCCCATCCCTATAAGAGACTGTCTCTCTTCCTCTCAGGAGCCATCAATTGGTTTGGATTTGCATGGGTCTTATGCATGCTGTCATGTCACCGTTGCTGAGAGTTTATATGAGTAACTGACCAGCTGTCTGGAAAACTCTCTTTCCTTGTGGTCATCTACCACCTCTGACTTTTACAGTCTTTCTGCCCCCTCTTCCTCAGTGATCCCTCAACCTTGGAAGGCAAAAGTTTGAAATAGAGAGGGAGGTATTCAGGACATTCCTCCCCTAGCTGAGGAACTATAGGCAATTGATGGCTGCTGAGAGAAGAGGAGTCAGTTTTCTTAAAGGATTCATCGGCCCTGAGAGGCCCCTGAGAGGCTACCTATGCTCCAGTAGATGATCCCACACCCATACACATACTGGCAGTACTGAGTGCACACACAGACACACACTCACGCCACAGGAAGTTGAGAGGGAATGGTGGTGGGGATGGGGAGGAATTGGACTGGAGAAAATGTGGACTTGAAATTCTTACACAGTTAAAAATATTAATCTTAAGACCCAAGAAGGTAAAAGTCTAAAGAGGGAAAAATGGCTTAAAGTAAATGTTACAAATACGACGATGATGACCTGTGTGTGTGTTTTTTTTTTGTTTTTTTTTTTTTAAAACAGGGTCTTATTTTATGGTCCTGACTGGCCTGGAACTTGCTATGTAGACCACCCTGGCCTCTGTCTCACAGAGATCCACCTACCTCTGCCTCCCAAGTGCTGGGATTAAAGGTTGATAGCCTTTCTGAAACCATTTGCATTGGGATTCAAGGAACAGATCAGAGAAAGTTGAATAAAGAACATGAGTTCTTGAAAGAACACCTTTTAAGAAATGGTTCAGCATTCTCATTCTCATTAATGAGACTTTTCATCTGTAAAACAAGTTGAAAAACCAATGATCCTTGCTTGTTAAATTTCTCAGGATTCAGCCTCCTTCTGGCAGATGCCCAAAAAGAACTGAGAAGGAGAAACGAGAGATTAAAGTCTGGATGAAAAGAAAACAAAAAGAGAGAATGGCAGAATACTTAAATCAGCTGGCAGAAAAGAGGGGGCAGGAGCGAGAGCCCTTTTGCCCCAGAAGAAGTCCAGTAAGTCTATTGCCCAGGGGAGTGGAGTTCTTGGAGGATGTGTACACTTTTTTCCTGCAAATATTCAAGGAAAAGATTAATATAATTTGGATGCCTTTTTTATCGAGCAGATAGATAGTCGACATTTTACTTAGGTCAAGAAAAAATGGTTGCCTGAACAAAGTATATTAGGATATTGTGCAAATCATGTTCCATTGAACTATCTTTTTTTTGTTTTTGTTTTGAGACTAGGTCTCCCTGTATTTCTAGCTGGCCTGGAATTTGCCTCATAAATCAGGCTGGCCTTGATCTCACAGAGATCTACCTGCCTCTGCCTCCTGAGTGCAGGGATTAAAGATTTGCTCCACCATGCTCAGCTGAATATCTTTTTCTCCATCAGACTTAATTATCACCTCTAGCATTTTAACCAAATGAGGTGGCTGAATGTATGGTCAAATAGAATTGTTTAGTTTTCAATGTAGTCATTGTTGGTTGAATAATTATATGTGTGCTAGGGTCATTTTAAAAACTTGGCTATCTACCTCTAAGTTACCTTCAAAGAACTTTTGTTTTTTTTGGTTTTTATTTA